CCATAGATGGGGTGTGGCTCGTAGGTGAACCCTCTGAAAACCAAAAACAAATATTAATAAAATTTTTGTATAAAATTCGACATGTTTAATAATATGTGCTTATATGGCTAACATATACTTAATTACACCGGGGTATTTTTACCGGTGCTTTCGCCTTGGATGATTCGTTCAACTTTTCTTGCAAAGTCCGGTCAACTTCCTCTAAAAATTGGGTGTTAATCCCATGAAATGGGTCGTCATCATCGGCGTTACATGGTACATGGACATCGTGTTTTGGTGCATTTTGAACTGGTACATGGCTAACAGGCAGTGGCAAAGTTTGTACTGGTACAAACTAACAAAAAAGAAATAAAGTAATAATAAAAATGAAATGTTTGACATTTAATGACATATGAAGTTGGGGATATTTGTAACATGATATGCATACTTTGTCTGCTTTGCTCTTCATAAGTGCTTCAGATTTAGTTCTGAAGGCTCTGACGGGAGACTTGACACTCGTCTGCTTTTTTAGAAAAAAAGATAGATATGAACAAAGAAACTCGTGCTTCATATGCGTTAAAAAAAAAAATTAAAAAAGATAATGATACCTCAATTGTAGTCTCACATTAACATCAGATGGCTTCTGGACAGGCTATACATATTTAAAAAAAAAACATTAAGACAATGTCATAAAATCAGTATTAAAAACTAACATATAACTGAAAAATAAGCCTTGCATATCCTTGATCTGAAAATAAAAGTGTTATGAAAAAACATGATTACCATACAACTAAGCATTTTAGGTACAAGTTCTGATCAATAAACTGGAAATATGCTAAAACTGGAATTATATGACAAAATAATTAAACTTTTAAATACTATCATTGCAATAGGAACACTGGATATCCAGAAAATATACTACGTTTGTACTGAAAACAAACACTAAATATACAGAAAACCTAATTTGATAGAGCTGTTAACTACAAAAATGTGATATTGACAGTAAATATTAATATCGAGAAAACAAACCGTCTCTTTTTCAGCTGAAATGTGAATATTATGATCAGGCATTTCATTCACATCACGAAATTCGCTCGTGTTTCCTCTGTCTGAGTGATGTTCTTTACTTGAACCATCCTGATGTATCATGTAAATGTTATGAACTGAACTTACACTCCACCAAAATGAACTTACACTCCACCAAAACACAATTTAAATAAAAAAAAAATATATATATACTTGACTGCAAATCACAATGGCATTATGATATATGCACCAGTAAATAAACTTACATATAATTAACATAAAATCCACAGATTTTAATTACAAGAATTGCATTAAGAAAATACCCAAACACTTAAAAAAAATATCCAACATATACTTGAATTTTACTAGCATATACTATCATACTAGTAAGAATTACATAAACAATTACCAAACACATAAAACAATGTGTGATAGTTGAACACATATATCGTACGTGCAGCATAACTTCAATAACAACAAATTCAATGGATGACTTACAATGAATTTTTCCCTGAACAACTCAAATTCGGCCATAACACGCCTCGAGAACTCGAAAAATGCTTGTTTCAAGCTGTCGAGTTCAGCGCTGATTGAGTCGAGACGTGTTATAACATCAACATTGTTCGAATGCTGAGTCGTGGGGCTTGATGC